CTAACAGGCAAGTCAGGTAGGTCACACAATCTGTGAGGCTATGAATCTCATGCTTTAACTGAAAGCTAACACAATCATTACTCTTTACACATTAGAGACCCCACCCATTAAGGATTCAACAAGCCATGCAAGTTTCTGAAATTAATGGGTCCTAGTTCCCAATTTTATGATATCTAATTTGATCGAAATAATCATGACTTCATGGGTCCCAAATCATTGGTCAAAAACTAAGTTGAAATCACAAATCATGGCAAATCAATTAACCCAATTCCTTTTGACATACATTTATTAATCCAGATACATTAGAGCTGGTTTGAAATTGTTAGGTAAAAAACACTTGTATGTGCTTTTGTTAAAGTTTTTTTTTTCTTTATAATAATGCTTATTTTAAATCTAAGTGGTTTTTTAAAAGTACTTAAAAGTGTTTTTTTTTTTTTTTTGAAAACATTTATATTGCTTCGGAAAAGGGAATATTTTTGCCCATCACCTGATAAGGATGGTGTACATTCCACCATTTGAAGGTGCTAATGTGCGGATAGCACAATCATGTACAACAAATATCATAATACAATTGGTTAAACTAATATTCTCAGCACATTGAAAATTTTTCTCGAGAGTGGGGAACAAAAATGCACCCTATAGAACTTAGGGACGGTTACTTTTTTATGTTTTTTTATAAGTTGCTTTTGAATGGGTTAACTGACTCAAATCGACCCAAATACAGTTTGCTTTATTCCTTGATCAAAAAACCAGTCTTGGTACTCAAAAAGCATATCCTCAAGCATTAATGCCAAATTCCAATAAAAAATTCAGACAATTGTTCCCTGGTTGGTCTCTTATTAAATATTAAAGATTTAATATTAATAAAAATATAATTATCCAAGAAAGTTGATGAAAGCTTACATTTTATCAGTAATTTAATATCTGCATGGAAATGTAGAGAGAGAGAGAGAGAGAGAGAGAGACTCCAGAGGACTTTGGTCTTTTTCGGAAGATTTTGCTGAATATATATATATATTAGGAAAGTGAAAGCCTTGTGCCTTCTGCTCAAAGCATTCCATCCTTTTCCTCTCTCTCCCCCCCCCCCCCCCCCCCCCCTCCATTCTCTCTCTAGACTTCTCTCCCTCCACAGCAAAGAAGCAAAGCATCTCTAATACCTCTCAAACACCTCCAAGTTTTCTTTGCTTTCGCTTGTAAGTATCAACCTTCCTTTGCTTAGAATTTTGCTGCTGCTGCTTCTTTTCATCCCATTTTTATGTATAATTATAGTAAAATTATCAAAAAAATGTCTGTTTTGTGTGCCTTTCTCTGCAAAAATCTACCTAAAGTTTGGAATCTCTGCTTAATCTCAAGCCTTAATGTGTTCATATATGAGTAGGGTTTTGTTTTCTGGCTTTTGAGTTTGCATTTAATCCCATCAACAACCAAGTTCATCTGCAAATGTGGTTTCTTTGCATTAGTACTGTATTATCTTGCTTCTCTCTTCTTCCTCTCTGGATCTGGATTTTCGTAAATTTGTTTGTCATTTGGTTGTTCCTTTGAGTATTTCGACTTTAACTTTTTCATCACCTTATTTATTCCTCCACTTTATTCTTTTATTTTATTTTATTTTTTTAATTTTCTTGTGATTTTTGAAGTTCTTTGATTTCGAAAACATCTTCTGCCTTTTGGGTTTTTGTAGATATCTCAAAATTCAAATTATTTAATTGAATTTTCTAATTTCCTCAGCTGTTCTTCTCTCTCTCTCTCTCTCTTTTCTTTCCCTGCAAGTTTCCCTCTTTTTTTTGTCTTTCCCTGCAAGTTTCCCCTGTAAAATAATTTACAACAATTCTTTATTTTGTAAACTAAAATTTTGTTTATTAACCAAGTTTCTTACTATTTGACGATTTGAAGACAAATTTCCAGGCAACCCAAATCATTGTTTGAGTGAAAAAACGATCAGATAATTAAGTAAAAGGGTTATAACATCATGAGTTTAACAACAGGAGTTCCAAAAGGTTCTTCTTGGCAGCCAAACATGACTGCAGACACAACAACTCCAAGTTACTGGCTCAACTGGCGGGTCTTGCTCTGCACCGTGTGGATTTCGATTGCGATGACTCTTTCGGTGTTTGTGGTGTGCAAATACGAAGCAAGAAGGGGCATTTCAAACCGCGGTAGCAGCGGAGAAACACAGCAACAAACGCCTGCAGGAGCATTGTTTGAGGATGAAACCTGGAGACCTTGCCTCAAGGGGAATTCATCCAGCTTGGCTTCTGGCTTTTCGGGTTTTCGCTTTCTTTGTGCTCTTGATTCTGCTCATCGTCACCGCTTTCGTGGATGGAGGCAGCATTTTTCTCTTCTACACACAGTAAGTTGTCATCTCTTAAGCCATTTGATGAACACAATAGCATTTTAGTCTATCTGTGATTATACGAGTCCAGCTTTTCCGAAAAGTGCTTCTCCAAATCTTTGAATTATTTGGCTTCTGATTAGTGATGTTATTTTGGTTTTCGACAGATGGACTTTTGCATTGATCACAATTTATTTTGGGGTAAGTTCCTTTTCTGCTTGAATGTTCTTGTTCTCCTTTTTTAAGTATTTTTCGATTTCTGCTGATGTCGATTTTCATGTGCAGCTTGGATCGTTGCTCTCCATTCGGGGATGCTACCGCTACCATAAGAAAACTGCCGGCGATAGGGTTGATAGTTTTGAGGCAGATACAGAGCAAGGCTCTACTCGTGCGACTCCTTCGCACGTAGTTTCTTGTAGTACTTCAACCACAGAGAAATCCTCAGCCCCCCATGTTGAACAACCTCAACCTCGCCAACCTGCTGGCTTTTCGGGTTATGTCTTCCAAATAATTTTCCAGGTTATTAAAATGTTTTAGGACTTGTAATTATCACTTGGTCTTCAAGAATGTGCAGCATAATATTATTTAATTCGCTTAATCGCCACATTTTTACATGTAAACAGATGAACGCCGGTGCTGTTCTTCTCACAGATTTCGTCTTCTGGTTCATACTAGTTCCATTTCTTGCAATCAAAGATTACAACTTGAATTTTGTAAGTGCAATAAGCCATATAATACTCTGCCCTGCTCTTCTCTGTCTGTTTTAGATTTTCTATCATCTCATAATATCGTGATTAGTTTACGTAAGCAGTGATTATGATACTAAACGAACATGTTTAATCCTTTCTTTGACAGTTCATTATAAATATGCACTCGATCAATGCAGTTTTCTTGCTCGGCGATACCGCTTTGAACAGCTTGGTAAGTTGCCCTTCTCAGCTCAAATTTCCAATTCACTGCAGGGTAAGGGTTTCCAGTTCTTATCATGAATACATTGACGATTAATATCCATAAATTTCTCGATTTTCAGCCCTTTCCCTGGTTCCGAATTGGGTATTTCTTCCTGTGGACAGTCTTTTACGTAGTTTTCCAGTGGCTCTTCCATGCTTGTGTCAAGTTCTGGTAAATTCATCATCTCTTTGGTTTCGCATATTGCAGACTATTTTCGTATCATTTTGCTGCGCCATAAGCTTCTACTTGTAGTGACGATTTTCGCCTCTCAAAAACAGGTGGCCGTATCCATTTCTAGACTTGTCATCGCCATATGCTCCGGTGTGGTACTTGTCCGTCGGTCTACTGCACATCCCATGCTACAGCATTTTTGCTCTGATAATGAAGCTCAAACACCATCTGTTTTCGACGTGGTGGCCTGAATCGTATCAATGCGCGAGGTAGTTCAGGCGGCAAGCTGAAGCCAGACACCGTACAGTATCCCGAAAGAAAATATACTGCCGAAATTCTTTGTAGAAGGAGAGCAAACAGAAGTCCAGAGATGAGATTTTAGAATTATGGATTCAATGCCTTCAACAGATTGAAGGAAAACGTTTGTTTGGTGATTAAGTTTTGGATGCTCAAAGCATTACCCTAATTAGTGGCATATACTTGTAGGTTGCAACTTGCAACTGCATATACTTAGGCATATCAGAAAGAAATTATACTCTATATATCTTATTCCTTAATACCATTCAATTAATCTGCTTTTGTTAATTCCCCACTAATAAATCTTTTATTTATATTCTCGTTCCATGAGAATTCCGATGTGTTGTTGGAACCCAATGAAATAAGAGAGAAAATATGCCCTAATATCAGTTGTTAAGATTCTAAAAGACGCTAGGCGCTAGTCGGGCGGCGGGCTGGGGCCTAGCGCCTAGGCGGATTTAAGTAAATCTATTATATTTCGTGTAAATAAGTGTCTGTTTATACTTAAAATATATATAATTTCATCATAAACTACAAAATATAATGACATATTTATTATAAAGTATTGGAACATGATGAAAACATGGAGAACAAACATATAATGTACGTTTATTTAAGTATTCGACAAGTCTCTTATAATTTATTGAAAAAAAATAAAAGTTATCTATTTTCTGTCTAAGTGAGTCGCAACCTAAGCAGGTCTGGACGAGTTAGGCAGGTGCCTAGATGGTCTAGGCGGGCACCTCAGCAAGTCTAAGGGCTGGTTTGGTATTGCTGTGTTATGAAAAAAAGTTGCTGTGAGAATAAGCAGCTGTGAAATAAATCAGCAGAGTGTTTGGTAAATTTTTTTGTAAAAGTGCTTTTGGAAAAAAAAAACAGTCCGATAGTGGTTCTTTTCATTAAAGGAGAACTGTAGCTCTGTGTGCTTTGAAAAAAAACCAGTTTTCCAAAGCTGCAAATAGCAGCTTCAGCTTTTTCCTTTGATTTCAGCTTATTCTCACAGCAGCTTCTAAAATAAACCCTTTTTTTTTAGTTTACCAAACACCTAAAACCCTCACAGCTTTTTTTCATAGGTGCTTTTTTTTTAAGCACCTCACTCCCAAACCACCCCTAAGCACCCTTTCTTAATTTCAAACGTCTAGGCATTAATCGGGACGATGGTCATCCGCTTAGCGCCTAGGCAGAGATTTTTAGAATAGTGCCAATTATATACAATTATGTGCCTATCATGGTCAGTGAAACCGAAGAATCTCACCCAAATGACAATATTTAAAAGGCGGGTTTTACCGCTAACATTACAACGATGGAGCTGAAAGTTCAAATTTACAATACAAGGACCAGCCAACAAGAATATATTCTTGTCCAACCTTAAGGATTTAGCTACACAATGTTGGGCCGCTATCTTATGATTATTCAATACCAGGTGCAAACAATGAAATTTCCATATTTCAAATCAAGCCAAAATGAATATATATATATATATAATACAATGCAGATGCAGGTGATTATAAAGAAGTGCTTGGTAACGAACCCATTAAAATGACGTTGTCGCTGTCTTTATGTTCCCTCGGCTTCTCTGGCTTCACCTTCGAAAATAGACCCGAGAGTAATCCGGAACCTGACCCTCCCCCAAACAAGTCCAGAAGTCCACTGATCTCAGCACTGACCCCGGAGCTTGCCCTCTTGATAAGCTGTGCTGGTTCGTCTTCCCTGAGGCGTGCCCCGCAAGTGCAGTCCATGACCTTTCTTAAGCAAGGCTTGTGGAATACTGATTCGCAAGACGGACACCTTTCAATTTCATCCTCCTGCCAATAACTTTTAGTCAGATTATAACAACTACGGTTACTAATTCATCACGCAATATATGGAATTCAAGGGTTCCTAGTAAGGGAAACAAAATGTTCAGTTGGTTTGCAAGATGAGGAGAAAAGGAGTGGTATAAAGGTTTGTCGCACGGTGCCCACTAACATTATTGGCCAAAAGCCCAGAGAATAAAGATTTTGGAACATATAAAAACCGAAATACAGACAAACACGAAAGGTCTTGTTATCCACATGAACAGGAACCATATATCGTATAATATTACTGCTGATGCCCACCTGAAAGGGGAAAATGAGAGATGAAGGATCACTGCATGCTTGTCGTGCTCCACAGGGGACTCCCACATCACAGCATATGAGACACTGCTCCGTTATATGGTCCAGAATTTTCCTCAAGGCAGTCTCCACAATCACGGGCAGCACTGCCACAAAGATGGCACGTCAAAAAATATATATGCGCACACATACATATCAGGTCAGGCTATCACATGTAAATTCATAAATCTGTCTTATTTCCGTTATAAGAAAGAAACAGACATGCATGATATGAGATAAAGCTTGTTATTAGAATCTAACCTGCAAAGGCTCCTTTGGAAAGATCAATGAGGTCTCTCAGTGCAAAAAAATCATTGCTTTCTAGAAGATATCTTCGAGACCCGAATCCTTTGTTGATTGACTTACGGAATGGGCAACGAACATAAGGAAGAATGGTTCCTATTTTCTTCCTCACACCCATAACATTAAGCAATGCTGGAACCTTCGAGAAAAGGAATGGATTAACTGCACTGACGCAGAGCATGGGCTGCAAAACAAATGATCCTATAAAGATTAAGTTGGATGTAAAATGTTAAAAATATGTCAGTATATTGCTTACTCATGCAGCTGCAATTCACTGACATAACATATACATAATTTAATCACAAAGAAGGTGTGCTAGTCTTCATGGTACCTGGTCATGTATAGAATCCAGATAAGATTTAGCATATTGCGAAACAGGATATTGCGTAAAATCCCAGTTATGCAACACTCTTGCTGGTATGATTGCAATTTCATTTGCATGGCACGAAGAGCAAAATAATTGACCAGTATATTCACAAAGTCGAGGCTTGCCCCATCCTAGTGTCTGTGCAAAATCCTGTATCAAAGTCCTTCCATCATCAAAATGCTTGTGGCATCCAGCACAAGTATAGTGTTGTGCTTCTAGCATCTGCTTCAAAGATTTGGATTGTCGAATTTCAACAATAAGTGATATGGTCTTTCCCAAAGTGGATATATCTTCTGTGTCTGCTCTTCTAGTTAGAGACTCAGGTGTATATGATTCCAGGGAGCTAGGAACTGAATCTTGAGGAGAGAGAAACCATACTAATGCACTTGGCGGACTGGAAAAGAACCTGTAATGGAGAACGGACCGTAGACATTCTTGGATGAGAACACTTCTCTCTGCAATAACATCAGGAGACGCATTTCCAAAAATCTTTCTGGATTCCTTTTCTACAGCAGACCAGGGAGAAGGTAGATCCCAGCCGTGGTCAGAAAAAAATGTTTTTAATCGACGATAGAGTGTAAAGAAATCGCGATATCGACGTTCCACCTCCCATTGATCCTCGCCACTCAATACTTTTATTTTATACACAGTGTATTCTTTAACTCCCACCAGTCTTTCACTAAATGAGACATCTCCCTTCTTCTGCCTTGCACCCACCACTTCGACCCCATCAATTCTCAACGAATGCTGATTGAACAAATGAGCATCATCTGTACCAGAAGTAGAAGCAGTCGACCCACCATCTCTTACTGGTAGATATTGCTGTGATTGTAAGAACCTGTTGCTATGAGTGAACCTTGCCCCTGGGGACTCAGCAGAGTCGAGCAGAATTTCCTCCATTTCATTAACAAACTCATCATAGAATTCATTAAGCTCAAAATTATCCGTCTGCAGCATTAACAATACAGAAAATGAGATACAGACAACTTAAAAGAGAGACACAAAAATATTCTTATACGGATAAAATCAGGTCGTCATAGCATATAACTACAAATGTCATTAACCAGCAATTCACTTGCAAAAGGTGGTACAACAACTAATATACACACATTGCTTATAACAAGCACTGGTAAGCTCCACTCACGATTAAATAAGAGTATAACATAAGCTACCATCCGGGTAAAGACTTGAAATTCTTCGAAGACAAACACTGCTATATGTTTACTGAGTATGAAGAACTGGACAGAATATAAAAATAGAGATACTTCTCAGAGTATCACAAGCAGCACAATATGCATTCAATATTCACAGAGACATGAAATCGCACGTGGCTTAGACCAATCAAATGCAAAAAATAGTTAAGTTGAATTACAATAATTTAGTGCCACCCAAAAGAAAAAAGTGTATTGAGCATGACTAACCTTAACTGGCATAGGATATTCTTCAAGGATATCTTCTGAAACAGGACTTTTCGTGGTATTATTTTCAAAAGTTGATGGCAGTGTACTTGGCTTATGGTCCTCAAGGAACTCTGTCTTCATATTTCCAGAAGTTCTGGTTGAATAGATGCTAATTTGATTAGTTGAGATATTCGAAAGGGGGTCCAATTTAACTTTTAAAGTCCCCAACTTTTTCTGTTCTAAATCTTGGCCATGATCAGTCCCAAGGACCTCCCCGGTATTCATATATGTATGCACATCAGAAACACCATTATCCAAAATGCTCAAACCCTTTTTGTCAGGAATTTCTTTTGCTTGTGGATCCGGCTGAAGTTCAAGGACATTGCCAACCAAGGAATCTTTATTATGTTTTGCTGATTCATCAGAACCTGGAACTTGATTATTTGTCAAAGGAATATCACTTGAATCTTCTAGCCCTGGTTCTTGAACATTTTGAAAACCAGTCGGGGTAGTACAAGAACTTTTGGTAAACTCAACCAAATCAGCAACAGCTTGAACTTGATAACTGGCCATAGGAATGTCCTTCACATCTTCTACTCTATCGGTTTCAAGAAAACTTGGAGAACTAGCTAGCTTCATGGAACTGTTAACATCTTCTACCGATTTACTATCAGCTTGAACTTGTTTGCATCCAGGCTGCACATCTGTCAAGTCATTTCCTTGCTCAGTTTGACATGCATTCTGATGCTCAACTGAAGTGATGGAAGTGGAATTCGAAACTTTCCTTTTGGTTTCAACTTTCTCTCCTCTCCGGTCCTCAAATATGTTCGTGAAAGAATCTAAATTACTTCCTCCAGTCTCTTCCATGAAATCATCCCAATCATCGGAGCCAAAGGCTACAGATGTGTTAATAAGAAACGGATTTTCATTCTGGGGTTTTTCTTGCTGATAATGGTGGACATTCCTCTGCTGACTAAATCCACTCTTGCGCTCATCATCCGAACCATAGTTGTACATGGACCCCTCTTCCTCTGAATACTCATTAGAGGTCCCTTCCTCCCTACCTATCTCTCCTCCATCTAATTCTTCAACTTTGGGTACAAACTGGTTCCCAATCCCAACCCCTTTCGAATCATTGGTCTCTTGGGCAGCTACACCAGCTCCAACACTATCACTTCCCACAACTCCCCTCCAAACTTCCGTACCTTTTTCACTGTCCTCGTCACTATTATCCGAACCATACTTCACATCCAAACCCCCCCTTAAACCCGACGATCCACTCTCAAGCTTCCAAGACATCAATTCATCCACATCATGAGCTCCACCAGCATCCTCATTGCCATACAATTCCGACCCACTAGACCCGTAATTCGCAGTCCGCCGTCCTCCAATACTACCATCCTCCTTCCCAAACTCAATCCTACCACTACTCAAAACTCTCCGATCCTCTCGATTCCTCTCAATCCTCCCTCCCAAACTAAAATTATCCAAACCACCACTCTCCTCCCCAAGTCTCCAACTTTTCAACGACCCGAATTTGGGCTCCGGGAAATCATTGAAAACCGTGATTGCGCTACACATGCTCGGCTTGCCCATCATCGAGTTGGCGCTACAATAGCGCTCGTACTCGGACTCCCCGAACGAGGAGTAGCGCGACGGAGGCGATCGGGGCGAAACATCGCCATCGAAATTGCCGCCGTCACCAACACCGTCCGATTTGGGATCAAGCGGGATTGAGGGATCCGGAGAGGAGGCCCCGGCAGTCGTCTCTCCATCAATCATTGGAAAGTCAATGAATCATAAATTTGAGTTCGAAATTTATGAAATTCAGAGGGAAAGAAAGATAGAGAGAGAGTGGACCTGACAGGAACCGACGGTTGTGATTGGATTGGGAGGTGGAGCTCCGATGGACTTTAGCGCAGTTGTTGGAAAGACCAGATTGTGAAGCGAGTTTGGCATCGGAGATTTAGTTGCAGAGGATTGAATAAGTGGCGGAGAGAGAGAATTGAAGAAGACGAAGTTAGTTTTTTTCAGTTTTTTTTCCGTTTCAGGTGTGGAGGTGTGTGACTGGTTTAACTTGTGATACAAAATGATAGATATGCACTTGCAGCCTCCATTGCTCTCCATGCCAATTTTCTTTGGTTTTATTTATTTTCTAAAAAATATTTTACAGTAAATATATTTTTCATTAATACAGCAGAGAACGAGATTCGAACTTTTTTATTAGAAAATTATTGTAAAATACAAGGTACAATACAAGTGTCAGAATACAATTAATTGAAATATTTTCTTTTCAAGTTTCCAACAAATTGTACTATTATATTTGGTGTAGCAGGCTGTGTGTCGGTCATACTGAAAAACTTTTCGAATGTTTTGCTCAAAGACAATCTCATCTAAATATTTTATTTTCTATGGGGCGTTTGTTTGGCCTCGTTAGCTTTCACTGGACTAGATTGGACTAGTTGTTAGTCTAGTCCAGCATTTGTTCTGTACATGGGCTAAGTTTAATGGTACTAAACAAGACTCGTGTGGACTAAGTAGCTCACTAAGAGGTCTTAGCGAGTCCCCCCGAAAATGTTGGTACTACTAAGACATTCGCTTACTCTCCTTCACATCCCAACACCTGCTTCATTTCTTTCTAATAACGGGTTAGTTTCTTCCCTAATTCCCCCGACAGCGTACAGACTATGTGATTACACCTGCGTATAGAAAATCAGGAAGATGAAAATCACGGCCTTGCTGGTCCTCAAGTGAAATCCAGACGAATCTGACCTGATCACCAACACCTCTGATATCAGCCACTTCGGCTACTTCCAAAGGTTTAGGGTTCAGGAGTTCATCGTCTTCATCGGTCGCACCGCCGCCAGACACAACTCGCCCCCAGTGCCAGTTCGTCAAGCACGAAGGGTCTTTTGGTATCTGACATGAATAGGAAGAATGGTTTGTGGATAGCACTTGAGGGATCGAAACAGTTGGAATTTTTGTCAAACCAAGAAAGATTGAAGGAGGAAAATGACGGCGGAGCGGGGGTTGAAGCTTGTCGAAGAAGAGTAAGGAAAGGAATTCTCTGGATGCGAAGAAGATAAAGAAAAGGAAAAGGAAAGTAGAGAGAGGGGAAGAGAGTATTCAGCCAAAAAACAGTGACATTAATAATAATAAAATACTAATAAATTAATTAGAAAATAATAAAAGGATTATTTTTATATGAAAATAATTTAGTCTGTAGGTTAGTCCGACACTGTACCAAATGTTTCATTATGCTTATACTACTTAGTCCATGACAAGCCAATTCAGTTTAGTCCATGAAGCTAGTCCAGTCCGACTTAGTTCGATGCAACAAACGCACCCTTAGGTGAAGATGGTCAGCCGGGTTTGAGTTTTCTTGTTTCATGAGCATTAAGTTGGAGTGGACTAGCTAGGACTATTATCCCATGTTTGTTATGTTTGGAGACTAAGTTAAATGAGACTAGCCTTCACTCGTTTGGACTCAAAGCTTTGTTAGGTTGTCAAATAAGTCCCCTGCTAAACCATGGGATTGCTAAGGACCTCACTAAGCGCCTCTTTCTTTGCTTCCTTGACTGAGTTTTGTTTCCCTCCTTCTTTGCTTCCTTGACTGAGTTTGTTTCCCTCCTTCTCTTCAGAATCCCATTTAGTATGTAAATCTTGCCACAAATTCGAACCCCAAAACCTTGATTTCACCGATTTCCCCCAAAAATCCTCTTCTTATTTTCCACCGAATCCCCATCAAACCTGCCCAAATTCACATCAATCCATAAGATTCAGTTTCCCTCTAGGGTTTTCAAGGCTCTGTAATTACAGAGATAGAAAGTGGGTAGTCGTCAAAATGCTAGGTGGTTGTACGGAGACCTTCCTCTGCCCTCTTTGACGGAGAAATAGAAGCCTTGTAATAGCACGGTGTGGTTGAGCATCACGAAAATGGCACCGCAGACCCTCTAGAAGCCGTCGTCGATTTTGGCCCCGCCGCACACGATTTAATTGTATAGCACTATTTCGCATAGAAGAGGGATGTGCCCTTTTATTTTTGTTTTTGATATTTCCAAGATGGAGAAGGATTTGGATATTTTCAAGATAGATATTAAAGACTTTTTTTTTTTTTTAGTTTGATATTAAAAGACTTGGAATCAACAAGATTAATTTTTCATAAAAATATGGAATCAATAATATTAATCTTCATAACAGTTTTAATCAGAAAGAAATTAAAATAAAAATTAATTTAGTCATTTTCCGAGCAAACACCAAATTGAGATATTTTTTTCATTATTCTACCTCTTAGTCCGACACTACACCAAACACTTCATTAATTTAGTCTAGCTTAATCTAATCTAAGCCAGTCTAGCTTAGTCCTTAAAGCTAGTCCAGTCCGAGATAATCTGTTACAACAAACGCACTCTTAAAGTCTTAGAGGTGTAGAGTAATTTACAATTTTTTTAATCTTGATTTTTGAATATTTTATAATGAAGCTTACATATCTGCGACAATTCTTATTTTCTCACCTACCATTCTCATGTCTCTTTCGCCAATTGTTTAAACCTTTCTTGTGGTTGGTTCTTCACATATCTTTGGTTGTTCAATCAAATTAATATGTGATTGATTTTTTACTATTTAAAATGCTAATTCAATATTATTTGATTTTTTACCATTTCAAATGCTAATTCAATATTATTTAGTAAAATCAATGACATGCGGGCGTGGCAATTCTCACTTAGTATATGACAAAATTATCTTTCTGCCTAGACTTACTGCTGTGGAGCCAAAAATATTCACAAGGCGACACGTGGATTTTTGGACAAAAAAGACAAAAATACCCTTGCAGTACAACGAGGTTCCTACGCGCAAGCAGCGGGCAACCCTCTTTCAACCAAGACAGAAGTGCCCAAAATAGGTAACAATTCAAAGTCCATCTCATCAAATCCTTTCTACAAGGTAATTCCCAAACACATTCCTTTTAAAATTATGTTAATTGGCTAATTAATGGGTTTATTGCCTAATTAACCCATTAATTGTCAATTAAACTATCCATTATATCCAAATAACCACAAAATACATCCAATTCAACCCTAAAACACTACATGGCCGGCCATCCCCTTAGCTTTCTACCTTCCCTATCTTTTCCCACTTTATTACCTAAATAGCTAATCATTCAATTTGATAACCCCCATTTATTTCTATCATATTTTATTAGCCAATAAAGTGGCTAATTAAACCACAAATTCACCAAAAAATGGACAAAGTGGCCGGCCACTTCCTTTGAAAAGTGGACCAACCTAATCCTATAAATAGGGACCCTTTTTCACCAAACACTCATTCCAAACCTCTTGCAAAAAATCCCAAATACTCTAAACACTATTTCTCTCTAAAATTCTAACTTTGGCATCGGAGGTTCTTCGGCCAAAGCCCCCCCCATTCATCGTGGGCGCGTGAGGCTTTTGGCCTTAACCTAAGGTGCTAGTTGTTTTGTAGGTGCAAAATCGTCCAAGATCGAGGAGGAGAAAATTTGCATCCACAAATTGGTGCTTTCATTGAGAGTTGAAATCCATACTCGTAGAAGACTCTCGCACAAAAAGGTTTTTTCTTTATTTTCTAGTCCATTTGAATATTTTTCATACGTTCTTATTATTAGAATTTTTTACTTGCAAAGTTTCTTTGATAAAACGTATAAGAAAAATATAATGGCTAGAAATTTAGAAAATTCCACAAGTGAAAATTCTAATATTCAAGAAATGGGATTGCGGAGATCTGTGAGGCTAAATGCGACAATAAGTGGAGCGGCACCACCACCACGAGTTTCCACCACGGGAACCACCGCGGTGGCTACCTCGGTAGTCACCCGTGGTGAGGTCCATGATGCTTTCACCACGGCCCGAGCCGTGCCATCCAAGGCTCACGGCACCAAGGCCACGACCCAAGCCATGTCACTCCAAGCCCAACGTGAATTTAACGCGTTGCCAAGCCAAGCCCAAACCTCGCACCCATGTGCATCACACTCCGAGCAACCTGCTTCAATCGAGCAGCCCACTCTCGTGGCCCAACCTGCTCCCGCCGAGCAGCCTGCTCTCGTGGCCCAGCCTGCTCTCGACGAGCAACCTACTCCCGTGGTCCAGCCTGTTCCAGTCGAGCAGCCCACTCCCGTGGCCCAGCCTGCTCCTGCCGAGCAGCCTACTCTCGCAGCCCAGCTTGCTCTCGAGGCCCAGCCTGCTCATGTGGCCCAGTCTGCTCCCATGGCTTTCCAAGCAGCCCAAGTCGGCCCAAGACTATCTCAACCATCCAGACCTACCATCGAGCCGGGGGCATTCTCACCACATTTTTTCACGAATTTGACATTTCCCAACTCAAATCTCGTGCCCGGAGTCTACCACTCTTCCATTGCCCAAGAAGGCAGATTCCTTCCAAGCTCTTCCAACCCAAATGGAGAACAACACTTGTCTCGACAAGTCATAGAGTTGACAAGCGTCATCGCACAGCAGACGACCTTGGTGAATCGGCTCTTACAGCGCACCGAGATGCAACGTGCCCCAGACGAGGTGTCCCGAAGTAGGACAAGGGCAGATAAAGAACCTCTTCAGCAGCGTCTCGGTAAGCAGCCACTCGACCAGCCACGAACCGAGCGTTCAGGCAGTGTGCACTCCCGATTGGGCCCCCGAGATAGCGTATACTCCCGTCTTAGAGCGTGGAGGAGCGTGCACTCTCGACTAGGCCCACAGACGAGCATACATTCACGGTTAGGGTCACACTCCGATAGTCAACATGAGCAGCCTTCCAGGCGAAGTGTTCGTTTGCGGTTAAGCCCTCAAGGAGCATCATCCACCTCACATCGGAGTAGGCAGCCCGACAGATGGAGAGAAACAGTCACTCAATACGGATTAAGTGCAACCGGCAGCCTGCGAAGAACTCGCTCGCCTGCTAGGAACGCGCTACATGCACTGCATCCGGGGCATAAACAAGCCAAACACATGGAAGAGCAGCCTAGACCAGCAAGTCACGGTTGGGGGCAGCCGAGAGCTCCACTACCTCAACAAAAACAAATTCAGGAAGAAGTAGAGAGACTCTTGACCAAGCGATTGCGCAATTTCCAACGCAATGAGGTC